TTGTTCCCCATTTAAATTTTTCTACTGTTAATTGTCATCACTTATCTGCTTGATATTGTATTGATATTGTAAGGAGAATTTCTGACTAGATCACCCACAGGAGTTAAGGGGTCAATTGACTTTTGATGTAGGAACCACGGTGTTGGACATTGCTGTCATCTTATGTTTGTCCTTTTGTACACCCCGTGCTTTTTTTAGATCGCACAGGTGGAGGAAAATTTTGTGAAGAGTATGAGTTGGCTACCTCTAAGTTGCAAGAGTTCTCAGAAACACTCAGGCGCGAGCAGGAAGAGAGGAAAAATTTGATCAAAGTACTTGAAGATGGAGGAGCTTTCTTTGATGTCGCCTATGGAGAAGTTAAAGTCATTGTTCATGTGAGTAGCTACTCTACAATTTTCTGTCATGTTCATAGATGCATCAGTTTTCCTTGATTGTCAGGGTGATATACATATTAATAGCTTTTCTGCTTACTGAAGAAATGAAAGATTGATCAAACTATACAGTACAGTGGTAACACTGTTTAAAGTTGAACACATGTACTTGATGTGCAAACTGCTAGGAGTTACTACATGTATATGCAGTATGTGATATTCCACAATTAGAATAGTTTAGGACATCTTAACTTTGCGGTAAGTTTTATGACTCACATCCTACTCTCCATGCCCCTCTTTACTTTTTATATTTCTGACATAAGCAACAGACAAGTGTATTAAAATGTTTGTAAATAATCTGTAGGATAAGTTTTTTGCAAATTTTCTTGAGTAGAAATGATGACTGGTCTTGTCTTTTTATTACCTGAGCTCTGTGTAATTGGGTATGCAATTTATCAAAGGGAAATGTTTGTTATGTTTTAAGATAATAATATGGTTACTTTCAGATATGCAGTGGACGAAACTAGATATATATATTTTTCTGTTGGTGTGGTAATAATCTGCATTAACTAATTGTGTAACTTTAGTAATTTGTCTTGAACTTTCCTATATTTCAGGCTTACAAGACCTTTGGAAATCGTCTCACATCACTGAAGAAAAAAGTTGATGGCAAAATGAACAGGCTAGCTCAGAAGGAAGCAGAGAAAGCAAAGACAGGGCCTGTAACAGCACCACAATCATCATTTCTCACATCAGGCCTTCCTGAAGTTGCAGAAGGATCAGCCCCATCAACTCCAACAGAAGGAAAGAAAGGCAGCAACAAATCCCCAGAGGAAGGAAAACCCATCGATCCAACTGTTGACAACATTGAAGTTGCTGACATGGAAATTGAAGATGATTCAGACAGTGAAAAGTCAGAGACAAGTGAGGAGGCTAGTGCAGACGATGCCAAGGGTAGCAATGTTCAAACACCTAACTCCACTGAAAGTTCAGATTCCCAGCCAGCAAAATCAACACCCCAGGATAGTACTCCATCAATTTCCCCTGTTGTCAGTGTAGCGCCTGCCCAACCTCTTACTCCAAATCTGGGTACTGTGATGCCATTGCGGGGCAGCATGCTGCCTCATCAGCCACAACTAGGTCCTCCTGGTCCAGCTCCAGTTGGAGTGGTCATTCGTCCTTTTATGGGGGTACAAGGGGCTCGTTTTCCAGCTCCTGCACCTCAGTTCAGACCTGGAGGTCCTCCAATACGGCCTTCTCCTAGCATGACTCAAAATCAGTTAATGCAGCCGTCAGGACCCTTACCTGGCACAGGACATGCCATAAGGCAAGAGCAGCCATTTCCACAACTGTCAGGTCAAACAGTGTTACTTCCGAGAGCAAATGCGCAACTTCCGGGTAGTATGGGGTCTCTGCAACCACTTGGTAGCGGCTTTGTACACAGTCAAGCACCTTTGCCAGTTGCAGCACCTCTTCAGGTCATGACAGGTTCAGTCCCAGGAACTCAGATACACCAAGTGATTGAAGGTCTTTCACAGGCTGGTGGTACTATTGGGTCGCCTGATTCAGAGGCGTCTGCTCCGTCACCGGTTGGTTCTCCGGAGTTGCATTTAGTTGAAGGTGACGAGACACCAGAAACAACACCAGCTCCACTTGGGGATGTAGACGTAAAAGACAATACCGGTTTTCAGACAAACAAATCATTCTTTGAAAATGCTATAAGCAACTCAGGACCAGGCCTTTCTGGGGCACAGCCTACAGCCAAGGCATTTGTTCCTGCAATTGTATCGGAATCGTCGTCTTCCAGCAGTACCCCTTCTGTTGCAGACCAGCTTGGAGGGCAGGATGCTGCCTTGGCAAAAAAAGATAATGGACAAAAAGTCAGTGCTGTTGACATATTGGCTCAGTTGCTTAGTAGAGGAAGACAAATGCAGCAACAGTTTGACGTGGAAGTCAATTGTACAACCGTTGCTCCAACAGTTGTTTCTGCTCCTTCGGCTCCTTCGGCTCCTTCGGTCGCTCCACAGCAAAATTCTGATACGCCTCAAAGTAAACCCCTCCTCTCTTTGATCGACTCATTGTTTCCGAAGCTGAGTGACTCTATAAAAACGTTGAAACAGAAAGAGCAGTCAGGTAGTTCACCTCAGTCATCATTTGATCCTCCTGTAGATAACAATCCAAAAGGTGTGCCGTCTTGGCCAGCACCCACTGAAGGCCAATTTCAACCTCTTTCTAAAATCAGACCGGAGGAGGCACCTCCCCAACGGTCAGAGCCACAAATCATTGCGAAGAGAGGACCTCAAAGTAATGAGGAGTTTAGAGGAGAATCATCGTCGAACTTCTCTGAAGAAAGGCCAATTGGAGGACCGATGGAAATGCCTCCTGAATCTGGAGGTAACACTGGACTTGGTGCGAGACATGATCACGTTGATTCTCAGCCACCTGAGGCACGTGAAGCGACACGAGCAGGAAATTTTCCCCGACCTGGCCCACATTTTCTAGGTCCTTCAGTGAGAGGAGGTTCCCCGCGCTTTCCGCAGGAGCGACCTTTTGATCGTCCTGGCAACTTGTCACCTCGTGGAATACCGCCATTTGGACCGAGGGCGCCTTTCCCACAAGCTCGTGGTCCCCAGTTTGAACAGGGAAGGGATAGTGCGGGTCCACCAGTTCAAAGGCGTGACGGTCAACCAGAGATGTCCGGGCGTGTTCCTCCCGATCAAGTACCTCAAGGTCATTCTCCAAGAGGTTCATTCGAAACCACGTCTATCCCTCCGGAGCATCGTCAAGAACATCGTCCACACGGGATACCTAGGGAAGAAGGATTTTCTAATGGCCCACGTATGGTGAAGAGGCTATCAACTGAAGGAGCTCCTATTCATCGACCTGATTCCCGACGGTCACCGCACGAACAGATACCCAGAGGCGATGCACCACCCCCTCCCCCACATCGTGTGTCACACTCGGGAATGATGAATGACGTTGAGCGAAGGAGAGAGTTTGAACGCTGGGAAGAACACCGAAGGGAACCTTTCAGAGACCATGGTAGAGGGCCATGGGAATTTCCACATGACCATCCTGGCCATCCCCCTCCCGGATGGAGAGGCCCTCCTGTGTCACCTCATGGTGACCCTAATCGAGTGGACTTTCGCGAAGACGACCCTTCCTTGTGGACTTCTTTCGAAGGTCCAGGGAGGTCGCCTAGGTCTCGCGAAGGATTCAGAGAAGGCCCACCTGAATTTAACAGATTTCACGGCTATGGACCTCCTGACAGAAGGCGACATTCTTTGGGAGACTTTGAAAGTGAACGAATGCGTCCTCCCTTAAAAAGACCGGGGCCACCTCCGGTCCCTTTTTCAGGACCTTCAAAACGCCCTTTCTATTAACCTCGTTTAGCAATACCTTGTCTCTTATATTTGATATTTCCTCTTTATAAATCTTATTTTATGTGGAAAGCGTCAATAGACAGCGAAACTATTAGAATGCTTTCCATGAAAGTCGACATACACGTGCCGGTTTTAAAAGGCCAGAATAGTAAACTACTCTTTGGAAAGAAAATGAATCATCTTATTACCTTCTTCCTTATTTAGTTGTGTTTTAACATGTTTTCCCAAATCGATGAGGTTTACATGTAACTTTTTCAATATGATAACAAACATCTTTTCGTTACTTCCTGTTTGCTTGTTACAAGACTCAAGTTAATCATAGTTCAATTGATGAAAATGAACAAATGAAGTCCAATTTCCCCAGTTGAGAAGTAGTCTCGCTTTGTTGTCTCGTTTTACCTTCTAAATTTTCATGATTAGTTACTACCACACATGGATTGGTGGCTGACCTCAATGCCTGTAGTATGCATAATTTAGCAACCACCTTGGCCACGATAGTTGAAGATCATTTTAAAAATTTTCCCCACGACTTGCACTTTCGAAAAAAAAAAAGAACAAAGAGAGACTAAATCCAGAACATAAAAATAATTGGGCTCAACACCAGGGTTTAAGTACTCTCAATCATCTAACTCCACTCTTCTCTTTGTATCCTGGCCACTGAGGCTTTCCAAAGCCCTTTTTATGCTAATCATGTTGATCAAAATCATAGCGAAGAAAGGGATATTATCAAGGCACCGTGTGCGCAGGGGGTTGGATTTTTCAACAACTGGAAGGTTGTGTTACTCCACACATACCGGGTACCTCGAACCTCATCTACTCGCGGTCTTAAAGCGTCACCCAATCGGGTCACCCCTTGAAATAATCTTGGAGGAACGTTGCAAGATACTCCCAAGCGCCCATCAAGAAAGCTGAGGGGAGTTTCTGATGATATTCTAAGTTGTTTTGGGTCCTTGGAGTTCTTCTTTCATCGGAAGACGACCATTGAGCATTTTAAACACCGAATTGGAACAAACGCGTGACAAACTGCGATTTTGAAGAGGCATAGCCTTTAGTGTTCGCTTGCCTCGACGCTGTAGGTTTTCGAATGAGAAAGTAGTAAGCTGATATCGGCTATGTTCGAAATGGATCATCAAGTTTTTAAAACAAGCCATGCTAAGGGGAAATTTGAAATTGCGTAACTAGCACACGACCACAGTACGCATTGCGTTACGTCCAGTCTAAAAAAATGGGCAGTCTGGTACCGAGCTAAGAAATGTTTCCCTCTCAACTTAAAAGTTTACTGGAGAGTACGAAACACAGCGATGGAAAAGGCTGTCAGTGAGTGGATTTAAATGATATGACTTCAAAGAAACAAGAATTAACCTTTCGGTCAAATAACGTAACTCCATCCACAGTGTTAGCAGTAAGTATGAACGCGTCTGCTCTTGATATTAAAGTAACTATTGCAGGAACTTGCTGGAGTTTAATTAATATTGTTCTAAAATCTGTCACTTATCAGCTCGGCGCTTGATCGATGTCAGTCGTAACTGTTATGCCGTCATCAATCATCGTAAGATATTATGATCAGGAAGCTAGCCGTTGCATTGCGACGGCAAACCACCTCAACGATCTTAAAACCACGAACGACAAAAATCAAGGATTTTTATGAAGATGTGTTTCGACATGGCAAACCGTTGAGGTTATTCTGTTGCTGTGGTTCTGGACCTATCAGACCTACTGATGATATAGTGGAATATCCTTTGGAGGTAAGAAAATTGACATAATCTTTTAAGTGGTAAAGAAACAAAAGTCATAAAGTACGGTAATTTTGTAAGAGGTTTAATCCGCCATCTTGTCTGAGTCCACGAGATTTCAGCTGAGTTGGCTCTTAAGCGTGCGCCTTACTTGCAACAATTTCTCGCTAGGAATTTTTGTCACTTCCCACGTTGGTTATTAAATAAGCGTTTGGAATGTCGAATAATAGTGGCCTCGAGGAGAAAGTAGGAAACTTGAATATGGAAGAAAAGGATCCTAAGGCAAAAGCAGGAGCTAAAGGTGGAGATAAGAAAAAGAAAGCAGAAACAGGCGGATTTCCGTTGGAAGTAAGACACGAAAGAGTGCGAGTGTACGTGTCGATCTCTCTCTAAATAGCAAAAATACTGTCTGGAAAATGAAGTCTTTTATCTTTGCAATTGTGATGTCCGTGGCTTTGTTGTACTTACCATCAGGTTCATTAAGAAGGAACTGAATCTTGTTAAGTTTCGTTCAGAACGAAGACGTCTTGCGAGGTCAACGACTAAGTGTTGAGATAAATTTAGCTACTAGAGGACATCTAATTTGCATGTTCACGTGCGCTTATCCCAAATTGGTAGCTTCGATCTTGGTTCCTCATTCTGATCCTGTGCATCGCGTTAGCTTTAACGCAATGCACAGGATTTGATGTGACGCAACTGTCATGTCTGTGGCTTTGTTGTACATACCATCTGTTTCATCAAGAATGAATTGAATCTTGTTAAGTTTCGTTCAGAACATAGACATCTTACGAGGTCAACGGTTAAGTTAGCATTTGGAGGACATCTAATTTGCATGTTCACGCGCGCTCATCCAAAACTGATAGATTCGATCTTGGTTCCTCCTTCAGACCCTGTGCATTGTGTTAAATTTAACATTCTTACAATCCACTGAGATGTTGTATGCCGTAATTAAGATTTAAGTGTAAATTATCGATTACTGACATAAACTGCAGGTCAGTTCCGCCAAACGGCTGATGCAATATTTTGATTTCTGTTTTGTACAAGTAAAAAAGAACATTTAGAAAGATTTTCGGTTAACTTCGTTCTTAACGAGAACAAAGCACTCACCCCAGAAGAAAACCATCTTTTTGGCCAATGTTTTCTTAATAAAATATCTTTTTGCTGAAATCTTGCGGAACGTTTAACTGTTCTACACAGATAAACGTGTCTATTCTCGTTCTCGGAAATTTTGACGTTCGGCACTAAAATAAGAATAATTTGTTCTTTGTTGAAAGCGAACTTTGTATTGTGCCAAAAAGCCTTTGGGTTCTGGACTTGGGAACAGTTTGTTTGGGATCTCTCCAGCAAGTGAAATTGTCGCACATTCAAATTGTTCAATGAAGCATCTTTCTTTTCAACACTCAAGTGACTTTTACAGTGCTAATATCGTCATTCGACTTAAAGAAAGAGTGAAAATTTACTGCATTTTTGGGTCCAGAAAAAATTTCCTCAGAGTAATTATCACTTGAAATTATGTGTTAGTTGAAACAAAAGGCATCCAGGAAAAAAAGGCAAAATTTTTGAAAATTTTTGCATTGAAATGAAATATGTCATTTTTATTGAAAATTCAGTTTCGCTTAGAATATGTTGGGCACAATATTGTACATATCCAGGGTTATCAAAATAAACTGGAATCTGGTGCTTTCCACTGTCAAGGTCCTGTTAGGAGGGGAGGTCTAAATATCCTCCATCTGAGTTTCAAACCTTTTCAAACAATTTAATGTCACAATACAAAGATGAAGTACTTTGGAAAATTTAACTTTATAATGAAATACAATTTCTTCTGCCAAAAGTGCTGCTAGTTGCTGACTAATGTTTAAAACACCAATGTTGTAGTTGATTTCACTTTTCTCTTTGTTGCTGTCTTAATTTTGTGTGAGTGGTTTGTTGTTTGTTGTCATTTCAGCTCTTTCATATCAACATTTCAACAAGTCCTCTATTCTGAATGTCTGTTGCTCAATTATCAGCATGGAAACATGACATTGATGAAAATAATACTGTTTAGTGCAACCTACTCATACACTTGTACTACAGTCTGGTTACTCAAAATGATAACCTTAGATATATATATTTTTTTTCTTGCAAGGTTCTTTCTATCTGTAATCATTGTCACATTTGATTATACCTAACATTGAATGCCAGTGCAATATCCTTTATACGTTAGCCGAGAGGTCTTACTTTTTTTTCCTAACAAATGTAATAATTGCTTTTTAGTTGAACCCACCTCCAGCCTTTCTAGATGAAAGAGTAAAGCTTTTTGATAGACTGAAGGCAGAATATGATGCTAAAATTGAAGGTATAGAATTGTTTATTTTGTTCTTTAGTGTAGTGGTGACCAACTAGAGGGGATAGGGACAATCATGTAATGCATGGTTGTTATTTAGCCTTTTTGCTCTTAACATCTCATTAGCGATTCTCCTTACTATCTGCAATGCAATTTGTATAATTTAAGCTCTTAGAATCTGGTGTTAGATCAACTGATAATCCTCTAATTGAAATGTCTCATTATTCTCATTACTTGTTTGCTTGATATTGTATTGATATCACAAGGAGAAATTCTGTCTTGGTCACTCATGGGAGTTAAAGGGTTAAGAGGTATCACATTATCATTACTACCCTAGCAAGGAATCAGTGCCAAGCTGCTTTGTCTTGAGTTATACTTTGTTTACTTTATGTTAGCTTCCTTAACTGATGACAGATTATTTCTTTGTTGGCTACACTGTAGTTATGTGAATGGTGGTTCATCCTAAAAATTCACTCTAGTTGATAATTTTTCCTACCTCTTATTGCTTTCTTGCAAGGAGATTAACTAAATTCCAAGGAGGATTTAGATTTTGATCACTCTTGAATGTGACAACAGGTGTGGCATGCATTTGTTAAATTAAAATGGCATGAAGGAGTAAGAAGTTTATTGGTTTTTATAGAAAGTGCTGTTATCACCAACATTTCCAAACTTTTTTTGCGCTGAAAATTCTTTCTTCATTGTAGCCAAAGATAAAACACCGATTAAGGTGACTCTACGAGATGGTAAAGTTGTAGATGGACAGGCCTGGAAGACAACCCCTTATGATATAGCAAGTTCTATTAGGTATGGTTTAGATTTGTCAAAACCTGTTCAATCCTTTGATTGCCCAGAGATACATGTATGAAGACCCACACAGGCAGCTGATATAGAAGTTGAACTGTTGCAACTAATAGACTGTGAATGGCCTTTTTTTTAACTTGAAAATGTAAAGTCAACTGTACTGAGGAAACTATAGCTGGATAACCTGAAGCTTTTCCTAAGCCACAATTTCACTTGTATCATTTCCTCTTTTGTTTTGTAGCCAAGGACTTGCTGATAACACTGTTGTTTGCAAGGTGAGTTTGTTGTTCTAAAAGTATTACTGGTATATCTACTTCAGATATAGTAGTTTTGAGTTTTGAAGAGGTTTATTTTCCTTTTGTGATTTTCACACTTACATTTTGAGGTACACTGTGTGGAGTATCAAAGCTTAAAAAAGTTATGTGTAATTATGTTTTAGGTTAATGGTGAAGTGTTTGATTTGGACAGAGTTCTTGAAGGAGACTGTACTCTAGAATTTTTAAAATTTGAAGATGATGAAGGTAACTGAGGACAGTCAAGATTGATTGTGTTTTTATGAGTAATTTTACTACTGTTCTGTAATAGCCATTCCCACATAGAGTATTCTATATTTTATGAAGTCCAATCAAAAGGTATTCATCTGGAAGTCAACGCCAAAGTGAAGTAACTCATGAATAGCAGTGTCTTTTGATGGGTAAGGGGTCCTACAAAAAGCCTATGTGAAGTGATTGGCTAAGGTTGTTTTTTTAGCCCTTCACACTTTAACATCAGTATGCAAACTCTCTATACTATGCTCAATACACTTCTTAAGGTACTGACAAGGAGAATTTGTTTAACAATTAAGAGCTTCTTTAGTTGGTTTCCTTTATTCTCATAACCTAAATATGTGATTCAGGGATGATATTGTAAGGAGAAATTTGGTGCTAATCACTCTTAGGGGTTAAAGGGTTAAGCTGAATGAGTGTAAATTAACAGACAGATTGAACCTCACTTATGACAATGACTGACAAACAATGCTTGAATTTTGCTGCCAACAGTGCTATGACAAAACTTAAAATCTGTTTCCACCAAACAGACTTCACATTCAACTGACAAACAAATCTGCACTTGAGTCAAATAGAGCCTCCCACCCAAGTTGCAAAATATTAGTTGCTGCCAGTGGCAACAGTCCTGTCAGGAAATGACCATGCCTGGATAATCATACCATGCAATTAACCATTCTTTATTGTTAGGTGTTGCTATTGAATTAAAATTAATTATAGACTTGTTCTTTATATCAAATAGCCAAAGCAGTCTTTTGGCATTCTAGTGCCCATATTATGGGTGAAGCCATGGAGAGACATTATGGGGGGTATCTGTGTTATGGACCTCCTATAGAAGAGGGATATTACTATGACATGTTCTTGGATGGAAGGTAAAGGATGCAATTTGTATTCAGTTGCAGTGCTACTATTGTAGTAATCCAGTGTATCCTCTCTGTTCCAAGGAGTTTCACCTTCAACTATCAATACAGGTTCATGCAGAAGGGTGATGATAAGTGAGAAAAATATTAATTTGGGGATATTGTTGGAATTCACACTAAATCTTTATGTTGAAAATTGATCAATATCAGTATGAAAGCAACTGCACACCTAAACAAGTTACAAGGGGAGGGGTAGGTGTACAGTTTCTCAGATCCTGCTATTAATCCACAAAAGTTATATAGCATTATAATAAATATTAAATGCAACTGTACAAGAAATGTTGGAATTGAAATTTAAGTCCTGGAAACTTTTTTAAGATGTCAGCTCTTGTGAGATGTTATTGTTTATTATGATTATGTCATCTCTTACACTCTTTGGATTCTTTGTGCTGACTGTAGGCAGGTGTCATCCAATGACTATCCCTCTCTTGATTCTTTGACGAAGTCCATTGTGAAGGAGAAACAACCATTTGTAAGACTTGAGCTGTCAAAAGAAGACCTCTTAGAGATGTTCAAGGTATCACTTTTTCATTATTTAGTAGAGACTCACAGCAACATAAGTGTTCCAATATGGCCCCCTTCCCTCTCTCTCTTCACTTGCCCTTGCACCCAAATGCATTTACATTACTTTGAAATAGTTGTTTACTGGTATTTGTTTGTGCCTCATACTTTTGCAGCAACAATATACTTCTGTATAAAGGCTTGCAGTATGCTTTGTTCTAAACATTGTTGGTTCTTAACCAAAAAAATCCATGTTGTTCACCTCGCACAATAAATCTGGATAACAATTTAGGTGCAAAATGTTGACTCCCATTTTTCCCCGTGGTGAATTTTTGTAAAGCCAACTCCACCTCCTTCCCTTGGGCTACCTGTCGCAAAGCTTTAGAATTGAATATTTTCCCTCCATATTAGAACATTAATGCTATAATGTACACTTTTGTTTTAACAATATTGATCATTCAAAGCTGCAAACCAAATGTCTAAATCTCGTGACAATGTCTGACTAAACTTGGCACATCACTGGCAGAATCTTTATTGAGATCTTGTATAATGGCTGGACAAGTTTTGTAACAAGTAACTAGTATGTTATATTAAGAGATACTTGCGTTATTCTTAACTGTTGTAAGTTTTGTACAAAGAGGAACTTGGTTTGATGTGAATTGTAGGTCCTTTTAAGGAGGAAAAAAAAACATCTACAGCTATGTCATTTTTAAAGGCTTTGTTCTCTTTTATAGTACAATGAATTTAAATGCAGGATTATAAGGGAAAAAGTAAAAACCCCCACCACCACTGTCTACAGGTAAGTGTGGAAATATATTTACTTTTAACTCCCATGACTGACCAAGATTAATTTCTCCTTACAATATCAATACAATATCAAACAGGCAAGTGATGAGAATAAAGAAAAATATCAATAAGGGAATTATTAGTTGATCCAATGCCAAATTCTCCAAACTTACATAATTATAAGAATTGTGTGGCAGACAGTAAGAAATAAAGAAACCTTGGGAGTGAAATGATAAAATCACGAGGCTGGGCAGTGACAAGTACATTTTGACAAGAATAGAATGTTTCAACAAGATTCTAAAAGTGCTGTGATGTTTATGTTCTTTAAGGTGTGGGCCTCTTATTGACTTGTGCCGCGGTCCTCATGTAAGGCATACTGGAAAGATAAAAGCCATGACAGTCACTAAGGTATATGATGAAGTATAGGGACTGTGGTAGATGCTTTTGTTTTAATTCACTGAATTGTGAGGATATGTTAGACCTTCTAGGGCCAAATTTGCCATTTTTTTGTCTATCTCAAACATAGCTTTACTATTTTAACTAAAGTTTCCAAATAAATAATTGTAAAATATTGAAATGCTTTCAAGTTGTTTACAATGATTTTCTGAACTGAATTCTCTGAGCTGCCTAAGTTTTAAAAGCCAATCATTATGTTTAATATGTTTCCTTTGAGTCATTCGTTTGTCTTTATTTGCATGTTGTGCCTGTAAAATGTAGTGCACTTCAACATTGACCTTTGACTCCTCTGTCTTCAGAACTCTGCCACATACTGGGAAGGAAACTGCGAAGCAGAATCTCTCCAGCGGCTCTACGGAATCTCATTCCCAAATGAGAAACAGGTGAATTCAACAAAATTATTAGGAATAGACATGATTTCTTTAAGTAAAAAAAGGAGAGTATGTATACTTCATCCGTGCCAACTTCTCATATTTCTGGTTTCTGTACTTTTGTATTATGAAATCTTGAATTTATAAGTAGGTTTTTTGCAATACTTATAAAGAGGTTAGATTTTTTGTTCTAATGATATAAATTCCTTCCTTACTAAGTTACAGAGTGTATTTTGTTACATTTCTTTATTGGTTAAAGCTTCACAGCCAAGTGGTGGCAGGTGAAAAACTTTTTTGGTAGAAACATTAACAGAAGCTACGCATTATTTCAAAAATTGTTGGATAGGCTTATGGTTTCCAGATTTTCGTGATCTTAAGGTTAGCTTGCCCTAGTTTGCCTTTGTTAGAACCAAGGTCAGCTTTAGGGAATTGAGAACCGCAACCACCATTATATTTAATAGCCAACATACATGAAACTATTTTATGCTAATATAAGCCCACTGAAGTCTACTTTTTATTCTTTTACTTAACCAGATGAAAGATTGGAAGAAATTTCAGGAGGAAGCTGCTAAAAGAGACCACAGAAAATTAGGCAGGGTATGAGAATGAGCATTTTTTTTTTATATAAGGGGGCTGCCTAATTCTCCCTTTATTGCTAGTTTCCAAGCTATCAGAATGATTTTTATTTATATATTTTATTCAAATAGTGGTCACAGTGTATGTTTAAGCAGCAGTGGGCCAAGATTCATTATGCTAAATGATGATTTTTTTCCTATTCAGGATCATGAATTGTTTTTCTTTCATGAGTTAAGCCCTGGAAGCTGTTTCTTTTTGCCAAAAGGAGCCCACGTCTACAACACACTAATAAATTTCCTTAAGGTACTGTTCCCTTTGAAATATCTCTAACAGGAATTGCTAGTAATTTTTTGGTTCTAAGATATTTCCTTCTTATCATTTCTTTTTTAAAAAATGTGAAAGTCTGTACTCTAGTCACTCATTCAGCCAGAGCTTGTCCCAGTTTCCATAGTGTATTGGGACTAGCAGTATTTCTATTCCCACTTGGATAGGATTCTAATCCATTGCAAGGTTACCCCCACGCATTTTGTCTGCATTTCCTGACAAGTTGTCTGTACTCATTTATAATCTTGGGTGGAGAGAAGCACTGTAAAAGTATAGCCTGTATAGCCTCAAGCCTGGACCTCCTGCATGCTAACTGTTCTGCCACCGTGTTTCCACCATTTACCTGAGATCTGACTGTTAATTCTCCCCTCCAGGTGCTACACGTTTCCTTGAAATAAGTTTTGAGAATTTGCTGTTAGATTAAGATAATAACTTTCACTTGATAAGTTTGAGTATTCTCGTCTCCTGTTTTCTGGACAGCGTTTGGATATTACAAGAAGAAGTTACATGTTAATCACTTTTGGGAGTTAAAAGGTTAAACCACAATATTATTCTGGGATCATGGCAAAGGAAGATCAAAGGGAAAATAAAAGCCAATCAGTTAGCTTGCTGAACTCTGGAGTAAGGGTTAAAGCATATTTCAATATTGATCGTCTTGAAACCAAAATCAAAGAAATGTCAATGGCCAATCAGAACAATGGAAAAATCACTAGAACCCAATCAGAACTCAAAGTAAAAACTAACAAACTGACCTAAGAACGGTAAAGCGGTAATTTTTGGACCAATCACAGAGCAAAGTGGAGCAAAATCCAATGCAACAATGGATTACTTTTGATGCTCAATTTAAAATTACCCCGAAGCCATGGCCAGATTGTTTTGTTGTGTTGTTGGGCAAGGAGCTTTCACAGTTTCTCTCTCTCTCTCTCTCTCTCTCTCTCTCTTTCTTGTAACTGCTTGACTGTTTGAATACTGGGACAACCACCCATCCAAATTGGCCTTTTTGGTCATCTGTAGACCTCTGTGCAAATGAATTCTAACGTCACACAAATCTCTTACTTTTTATTACATTAGGAAGAGTACAAAAAGCGAGGTTTCCAGGAAGTTATTTCACCAAACATCTATAGCACTAAGTTGTGGGAGACTTCGGGACACTGGCAGCATTACTCTGTAAGAATAAAAGGTCGTATTTTATTCTGATCCTTATGATACTCTAAATACAAGCAGCGTTTTGAATATCACAGTGTTTCTCTCCCAGGAAAACATGTTCTCTTTTGAGGTGGAGAAGGAACGGTACGCTCTAAAGCCCATGAATTGTCCAGGACATTGGTATGTATTCTCTTGGGCTTCTCAATTTTTAATGGTAGTAGGACTGAGTGGAGTCCAATTCGGTCTGTAATCATATGAGTGTTGACGAAATCGGACGACTGCGAAGCGGGAGTTTGATTATTTTACCTCTACAAATTTGAATGTGATTGGCTTATTGAACTGACCGATAACAACTTGGCAAATGAAATAATGAAAAATTGGGGTTTTTCAACTAATCACCATCGATGAAATTGAAAAAAAAGGCCTTGGTCCTTGAATGAGCCTTTGTGTTTTTCCAAATTTGCATAATCCCTAATCAGCCTGTAGTCATTACGAGAACATAATGCCCCTCTTTGATCTTGCTCATAGCCAATCAGAGCACGCGTTCTATCGGCCTTAATCTCACGCCATGTGATAATCACCAATAGGTCCTCTTTTTATTTGCTCCTTGATTCTTAGAGATAAGGTGAAATCTTGATATCATGGATTTTATCTTGCGAGAAGAGTTACCCTCTTGCATGTTCTGTTCACATTTGACTTTCTTCCAGTGTAATGTTTGACCATCGTCCACGGTCTTGGCGTGAGCTTCCACTGAGGATGGCAGACTTCGGAGTGCTTCATCGTAATGAACTGTCTGGTACACTTACTGGACTGACCCGAGTCAGAAGATTTCAACAAGATGATGCTCATATCTTTTGTAGACCAGATCAGGTACGAGTTTTACTTTAACTTAAACCTTTCACTCCCAAGATCTATTACCCATTATCTGCACTGTCTTTTACGTATTGGAGAGCGTTTTTCCTTATGTACGTAAATTTGGGGATATGCTTGTAATACGTGGTTGTTAGAGGTCGGAAATTTTCAAGTGGAAAAATAATTCGTGGCAGAAGCAAAAGTTGAGGAAATTTTTCTAAGCCAGCAGGAAGTAATATTTCTTAGATGTATCAAGAAAAACGTTTTCAGTGGGTATTAAGGAATTCTGAAGACGTGAGTATACGGTTGAATGGGACTTATCAGTGCCTGTCTTTTTATTTCAGATTGGTGAAGAAATCAAAGGCTGCCTGGATTTCCTGAAGTTCGTCTATAACAAGTTTGGTTTCTCCTTCAAACTTTTCCTGTCCACCAGACCTGAGAAGTACATGGGTAAGCTGGAGCTTTGGGACAGTGCTGAGAAGGTGCGATTACTGATCACTGTGATAGCGCTTTTCGATTGAGAGTCGTGAAAGCAAAACCAAAGTAATCACAACAGCCAATCAGAAGAAAGGAAAATACCTTGAAGAGCCAATGAAAAAACACAAAATGAAAACAACCAAACTGCGTCAAGGGCGTGAAAACGCGGCAACCAAGTCGTGATTCGTTTAAGTTTGCATCTGATTGGTGGAAAAAATTGGCACGAGATTTCTGGACCAATCACATAACGAAGTAAAGCTAAAGGAAAGCAATCCCGGATTAATTTTGCACTCAATTGAAAATTGCTCTAATGCTCTTTTTCACTGGATCTGTCTTAAACGAAACAAAAAAATTGTTAAGCTCTCGATGGTTTCCTTTTTTTTTTACAAGCGTGAGACGAAGACAAGTTTCTTACTCCCGTTTGAAAGCGAAGTGAAGTCTGAGGGTTTGAGATTCGATTCTTCATAAAGATTCCAATTTTTTTTCTGTCCCACGCTCGTGACAGGGTGAAAAAAAACGTCTCTTAGGGATCTGTCTGTAATAAGTTTCAGAATACATGAATAGATATAGGCTTCTGTGCATATCGTGTACAGTGTTAAACCTTTGCATGAAAAATTTGCCCAGTAATGATTGCTCAGCAAGCAAAGAATCTTTCGATCGTTTAACAAATTCTCCTTGTTTGTAGCATAGGACATGTATAGAGAACAATGTGTAGAATTTTCATTTTGATGTTGGTGTGCCAGGATCAGGAGGTCATAGAGTTTTGTCATTGATTTATTTAGGAGCTGGAACGACGTCTCAATGAGTTTGGAATGGCTTGGAAGTTGAACCCAGGAGATGGAGCATTTTATGGACCCAAGGTACACCACTAGCTCACAAATTTTCTGTGTCTGTGGGGCGGTTCGGTTTTTATCGAGTGAATTTCATGGAAATGACCGAGTTCCGCAGTTAACGGGGAGAAATTTCGGTCGGTCGGTCCATCGATTCCTGTAAACATCCGGGCATTTCTTTGCGCAGCAGTATTGAACCGCTGAGAATCGTATGACTACCGTAGGCTCCAAAAGCTTGTCCACAGCGGCCAGCTTTCAAGGAGCTTTGGATTGATAAGAAAGTCGTGCACTACTGATAGTCAATTAAATGGTAAACAGTGAAGTGACTTCTTCCTGAGCAAATAACTCTTTTAGGTAGCTTTTTTTTTACTTGTGGAATATAACCAAGTTTGTGATCAGTTTGGATGAATTCAAAGGTACTTGGCACTATCACTGGTCCTGTTTAAGGTGCGCTCTAGTTGTCAGTGTGATCCATGTTTTTCTTTGCCAGATTGATATTCAGATTCAAGACGCACTCCGCCGGTATCACCAGTGTGCAACCATACAACTTGACTTCCAGCTGCCAGAAAGATTCAACCTAACTTTTGTCAGGTAAGAGAAGGTCGGATGTTAGTTTTCAGTCTTCTCATCGAGAGATTGGCGAAGACTGTCATAGCGTTTTTTTTTCTCTTATAAAAAATCTTTAACTTGAGCAAAGCTGGAGAGATTACCATTTGAATTTTCTTGGATAAATTGCCATCTTCTGGATAGTATAGTTCATTGACGTTTTTCTGTTGGATTTGGTAATCCAACCTTTAAATGGCAATTTATACTGGAGTGAAGGCCGAAAAATATTTCACAGACTCGTGATTTTCTAGCCACTGAGTGAAGAATATGTTCGTATGAAAATCCTCTACTGTAGATGGGGTGTTGCACACTCAAGTGGAAATAATAATTATTTTTTGTTTTTTTTTTTGTCTTTTTTTTTTTTTAAACCTTTGCTTTTATCACAAAACACAATTCTACAAAACATTACTTACAATGCAAGACTCATTACGCTACTCTACTTACAGAAAAATACTTATGATGTTTACAATGTAGGTTACTCGTGCTAGCAATACAGTACTGAATATGGTTACTTCCAAAAAATAAATTACTAGCAATTCGGGCTACTTACACTACTAATAATACAATAATCTACTTACAATGTTACTTTCTGAATATACAGTTACTTACAATACATTATACGGTATATTGTCTTTGAGGAGGCAGGAGTACTTCTCAATAAAACATATAATTAAG